GGATTATTATTATTGTTATTATTATTATTACAGAACCTAACCTAACCTAACCTAACCTAACCTAATCAAACACCACACACCATTAACGACACCCTACCCCCCGCCCCTCCCCTCTCAGCCTTCCCCACCCCCCCAAGTGAGACTCGAACCGGTACCTGCCTGCGTGAAGGTGACCATTTCGGCCCAGAGGTGGTGTCGCTAAATGGTTTCATCGTCCCGGGAACTAATTGGCTTGATCACCAACGTGTTAAATCGTTTTATTGGCCCCCCCCCACCACCTCCTGATTGGCCCGGGAACCTTAGTGTAATGGCGCTGTTAGTGGTGCAGAGGAGGGTGTAGTGTGACGGTCAGGGGGCTACGAGTCTTATACCTTCACACGCTCTAATTTTCTAAGTTTAATTGAGATCACAGCATTTTAACCTTAGAACTAATATGGCGTCGATGTTGCTCTAAGACTATTCACTAACTAGATGTGTTTTTATTACCCGTTTTATAAATACTTACGATAAATACTCCTCGTAATTAGGAACTGAAGATAATATACAAAAAAAAAAATGGCACCCAAATTAAACTAAGACTCGAACCGGATACATTTATTTCATAACTTTATTTTTGTCTCTTAACTGATACTAAATTTACGTATCTAGTTAAGTTAGAGATTTAGTGTAATTTTGTCTCCTAACCGATGGTAAATTCAAGCATTTTTTTAACGCATTTTTATCGGATCTAAAGTCAACCAGATATAAAAACTCCGACACCTTTAACTTACGACAAAAAAACAAAAAAATCGTAGGAACTTTTAAAAATCTAAGTCATGGAAGCCGCACCGTCGACAGTGTGTGAATATTTTGTCATAATCATCGATCTTATTATTTTTTTTTTCTCTCCACAAAACAAAATATTTTCGTCATTTTTATATCTTGATTTATTTACTTGTTTACCTGTGTGTGTTTGTCAATTAATTTTCTGCTGCAGACTCGGTGTTGATCCGCAGATATTGACAATAATTCTGTGTTCTTAATTTGTGGATAAATTATAGACGGCCTTGTAATCTGGCTTTCATTATAGCGTGTGCGAGACAGAGAGAGAGAGAGAGAGAGAGAGAGAGAGAGACAGAGAGAGAGAGAGATAAATACCGTATAAAGAGAAACACAAGTAACCAGAAAGAGCAAGAGAGACACAGGGAGAGAGATAAATACCGTATAGAGACAAAACGAAATAGCCAGAGAGAGAGAGAGGGAGATCCTCCCCCATCGACAACAGCCAATAATCCCCAACTTTTATTACGTGAAACTCTCGTCTGTAGAAGCCATTACGTACTTGACGTCTACCTGTGGAAGAGGTAGTAAACTCACCTGGCCCCCTCACCTGCCCTCCTCACCTTGCCTTCTCACCTGGCCTCCTCACCTGGCCTCCTCACCTGGCCTCCTCACCTGGCCTCCTCACTTGACCTCCTCACATGTACTCACCTGTTCTCCTCACCTGCCCTCCTCACTTGTCCTCCTCACCTGTTCTCACCTGTTCTCCTCACTTAGCCTCCTCACCTGGAGAATAGAAAATTACAGACAAGAATCAACAAGAACATAAAACGAGAGAGAGAGAGAGAGAGAGAGAGAGAGAGTGAGAGAGAGAGAGAGAGAGAGACCCATATCACCTCGAAGGTCATTTTAACTCTTTTATTTTACAGCCTTACGTCAATGAGGTATTTATCCAGCCTACTTTATCTCCCTTTCTTCTCCCTCTATCTCCCTTTATCCTCCTTTTACCTCCCGTTCTCTCTATTTTTTACCTCAGTCTCTCCCCTTCCTCTCTGCCCCTTTCTCCCCTACCTACACCTTCCCTTTCACACTTTTCTCCTCCTCCTCTCTACCTTTCTCTCTCTACCTATTCCCTCCCTCTCCCCCTTTCACCTCTCCCCCTTCCCCCCTTATCCTCTTCCCCCTTCCCTCCTCTCCACTTCTCCTCTACCCTTCTGTCTCTCCCTACCTTACACCCTCCCTCACTTCCATCCCTCCTTCCTCCTCCTCCTCTCTACCCCTCCCTCTCCTACCCCCTCTTCCTGACCCCCCTTCCCAGGTCAGCCTATCCCCCGGGCGCTGTCTGCAGTAATTATTGTCTTACTCTCGCTGACTGATTTTACACTCCCATCACGTGATTTTAAATGCGGTTTGGTTTGGCTCATAGGAACACGGGAACAATCTCCTACATATATATATACATAAATAATTTCTTTTCTGATTATCAATTTCTCCTATTTGTGTTTTATTTTATTTTATTTTTATTTATTTTTATTTGCTTTTATACCTATCGTATGTTATTTTATATTCTTTTGTTTTTTTCTTTGTTTATTAAGAATTTCGTTTGTTATCTTTCGCTTATGATTATCAGTTTTTTTTTAAGGTTTTCGTTATATTGTTGATAGTTTTCCTATTTCTTCTTTATCTTATTATGGTTTCCATTTGTTTCTTATTGATGTAAATTTTCTTATCCTCCTACTTTACTTAATTTGCTTTTTTTCTCTTTATTCTTATGTAAATTATTTTTTTTCTGCTTTGTTTTGTGTGATTATCAGTAATTCATTATTCCTTGATTATTCTGTTTTGTTTCTTTTTTACTTCTATTAGTATCAAGAATTTTCCTATTTCCTTACATCATTCAGTTCTTTCTTTCTTTCTTTCTTTCTTTCGAAAACCCACGTTGCTTTACCTGTCAATTCTCTTCTCTCTCACTCTATCTCCTATCTCCATATCCCTGCCCTTTCACACGTCTACTGGCTCTCTCTCTCTCTCTCTCTCTCTCTCTCTCTCTCTCTCTCTCTCTCTCTCTCTCTCTCTCTCTCTCTCTCTCTCTCTCTCTCTCTCTCTCTCTCTCTCTCTCTCTCTCTCTCTCTCTCTCATCTCCGCCAGCCATCGCCAAAGAGCCTTGAGCTGAACCATTGGCATCGTTTGTTTTTGTTGTACGAATTTGTGTCATAAATCCCGGTGTCGGGTATCTGAAGCCGCTATCTGGACCCGCCGTCAGGAAACACCATCTACACATATCTCACCCCTGGCTGGAGCTATCATTACCGCAACCACAAAACATACACACACACACATGTACACACACACACACACACGTACGTACACTCACACACACATATACACATTCATATGCATACAAACACACATGTACACATACACACATATACATACACACACATACATGCAAATATACACACATACGTAAACATACATACACATACACACACACACATAGCTACACCGCCTTGGGTTACCTTCTTAACTCAGGTAATAAATATAGAACGCAAGACTTACCTGTATGTCACTGTTGGTCTTGTGTTTACTGATAAATATATAACCGAGGTAATTAATTATCTCATAACTACATATATAATCCTAATACTGTATTAAGTTGAAGCTTTATATAATTAAATATTATATGTATCATTATTGTTATTTATCTTCAATTTCTTAACAGCATGACAGTATAATATTTATGAATCAGTTTAGAATTTCAGGTCATGTTAGGTTCGCTTTGGTTAGGTTAGGTTAGGTTAGGTTAGGTTAGTGGTACTGATATGAGGAAAATTAGTTGATTTTTTTCTTTTGTTTACGTCGAGAACACCGACATTATCGTAATAACTACCACCACCATTACCGCCACCACTACCACTACCACTACCACCACCACCACCACCACCACCACCACCACCACCACCACCACCACCACACGCCACCACCACCACCACCACCACCACCACCACCACCACCACCATCACCACCACCACCACCATCACCACCACCACCACCACACCACCACCACCACCACCACCACCATCACCATCACCATCACCACCACCACCACCACCACCACCACCACCACCACCACCCACCCACCACCACCACCACCACCACCACCACCACCACCACCACCACCACCACCACCACCACCACACCACCACCACCACCACCACCATCACCACCACTACACTACCACCACCACCACCACCACCACCACCACCACCACCACCGCCACCAGTTTTGTTCACCCACCAAAATATATAAGCCCAGTTCCATGAGCATATTAAATAAATTTATAGTATTAAGCTCGACAGGTAGGGCGGACGTTCATACAATTTTGCATTCTGGTAATACCTAATTAGAGAGCTTGTTAAAGGGGTGGAGTTATGAAGTGGGGCAATTAGGTAGTTAGAGCAGGGTTCGTCACGTGATGAGGGAGCGGTGGTAGTGATAGTTGCCCTGGAATATGTTTTTCTTGTGTACAGACAATGTTGGCTGAGTGCTGGAATTTAATTAGTTTTACCTTTCTTTGTCTTCTTTTAATTGAGTCAACTAGCTTTGTGTATATGTGGGGAGGTGTGTGGGGGTGGGGGTAGTGGAGTTAACGGCAACAACGTGACGGGTTGCCTGGTTGGGTGGGCGACAGCACGGGCGGTGGGCGGCAGCGGGCCGTGGCGGACTGCCTTGGCGGCAGTCGGGTGCCTTGGTCCAGACCAAAAGGGCCGGAGGGTTGCGGGGTGGGCGGCAGAACGGGCGGGTGGGCGGCAGGTAGTGTGGAGGGCTGCCTTGGTCGGGTGGGCAGTAGCAAGGGCGGGTGGTCGGCAGTAAGGGTCGTGGCGGGCTGCCTTGGTCGGGTGGGCGGCAGAACGGGCGGGTGGGCGGCAGTAAGGGCCGTGGAGGGCTGCCTTGGTCGGGTGGCCAGGAATAACCATGTAATTACCGCTCATACATCTGAGGTGAGCGGGCGTCTCTGCCGTGTTATCTGATGGGCGTGACGTGTGGGGCCCACTACCCGGCCTGACAGTGGGCGTGCGGCCTCTGCTGATGTGTGGCCGCCGCCCCGCCCACGCCCGCCCACGCCCACACCCACACCCGCACACCACACACACTGTAATTACTGATAATGTATGTAAGTCTCGTCGACCATAGTTCTCCACCATTGTTTATTCACTGTGTTTTCTCTTGTCTTCCCGCAGATCAAAATCTGGTTTCAAAACCGACGGAGTAAATACAAGAAGCTGATGAAGGCGGCCCAGAGTGGCAGCGGACCCAGCACGCCCATGGGAGCTCCCATCACCCCGGGCTCCCCCCTGGCAGGCTCCCCGCTGGAGGGATCCTCCCCCCTGGGCCAGCCCCTGCCCTCGTCGACGCCTCAAAGCATCTCCCCAACGCCGCCCACCGCCCAGAGCCCACCCTCCTCTCATCCTTACACTAGCATGGCTACCGCCAGCACCCCTCACGGCCCCTCCTCCCAGGGGCCCTCACCTTCGGGGCCCTCACAGTCCCAGCAGGCACAGGGCCCACAGTCCCAGCAACAGTCTCAACAGCAGTCGTCGCAACAGCAGCAGTCGTCTAGCCACACTCCTTCGTCCCAGTCGGCGGCGTCCGTGGGCGAGCACCTCCCGCCACCCCTCCTCTCGTCCCTGCCACCTTCAGCCTCCTCCCCCGGCCCAGCCGCCCACCACTGGGGGGACATGAAGCCACCCGTCTCCGTGCCCTACATGTACTCCTGGTACGCTGCAGAGAACCAGCACAACCTTCTTACTTAAGCTCGCCCATATACCCACCTGCTACACTGTCGCCCGTCACTCTGGAATTGTCCCCAGCCGCCCACCTGCCAGTGTTTCCTCACGCACGGCCAGATCCCATCGCGGGGCGCTACAGGGAGACTCTCCAAGGTGGTGAATAGGACGGTGACTCGGTCTATGTGGCCGCGAGCGTGAGATATTCGTGAGATTTTCGTGAAATAAGCGACAAGTTAGCGTGTGATCGTCTCGCCGAAGGTGACGTCTGCGTGAGTCTCACCAGTCACCATTACCAAAGATTCCGTTCTATCGTACGTAAGTCACTTCCGACCCCTGAACTATGACTGTACTGTACACATTCCCGAGTGCCCACCATGATCTCCACAACACCAGTTCCTGGTGTTGTTCCCCCTCTCCCCTACCTCCCCTCTCCCTTCCCCTCTCCTCTTGAGAAGGGATCTGCAATGGACGAGGAGTGTTGTAAAACTCTCGGTGACGATAAACAAGTTCTTTTGAATCAGATAACAGTGACAGACAATCTGTTAATTTGATGTGAACTGTGAACGAGGGTACGTTGGATTACGGGGTGGCAGACAGAGAAAATTGTGTGATACATTGACAATCATGTGGTGAAGTTCCCTTCTAAAGGGGCATATGGTCGAGAACGGCCGAGGAGCTACCTGTGTTTCGGTGTACATTGTACTAGTGAAGTGTGCATGTGCATATCATTTTGTGGTGACGCGTACAAAAGAAGAGATTTTGTTTTTTCATTTAGTATAGATTCTATCGTGTTCCAAGTGAGCGTCGATGGAAGAAAAGAAACTGACAAGTTATGTATACAAACTATGTTCAGTACGAGAGTGTCGAGCTTTAACGCCTCTGGAGGGGTCCACCTTCTCCACATAGATATGAATGAAGACGCATCTCTTGGCGGGGAGGAACGTAATTGTGGAATCAGACGTCCCAACTATGTCTCCCTCCCCTCCATTTTTTTCTCTCTAAATAAGTGACAAATTTGGCCGCTGTTAGGACTATAATAGACCCTTACCAGCCCCGGGTATGACACAGCCCCCCTAAAGCACGTGAAAACCAGAGCTAACGGGATCTTCCTTCGACAAAATAAAACCTGCCGTTCTCACATGTAAAATTCAACGATATTATATATATATTTTTCCTTCCCAAAGACAGATTCTAAATACTCATACAAACACGTCACTCGGAACCTTTGCGAACCATTGCTGTAAACTTTCCCTGGCTGGCCGTGACACCAGTACCAAATCCTCGATACTCAGTCAAAATCAATTAAAAAAATACCTGTACATATATAACTAATTGTCCGAAGATCTTAGTTCTGGTTGACGATCGTTCTTGGTGAATTGGGAAGACCACCCCCCCCCCTCTCCTTCCTCCCCCCTCACTTCTTTCCCCTCTTCCTCCTCCTCTTCTTGTTCCTCTTCATTCCCCCCCTCCCCGCCTCCTTTATGTTCTTCTCCCCTATGCTTGCTGCTTTATAGGATCCATATTCGTAGCGTTTGGTACTGGTTGGTGTTACACGCAGCAACGTTGAATGGAGAAATAAACGCAACGTGGAATAAATATAAACCAACCTCAATAAATAAATAATAAATAATAAACAAACCAACACGTGATAAATAAATAATAAATAAAGATGGATACAGAACAAAAATGTACAATAAATGATAAATATGAACCTTTACAATAAATAAGAGACTGTAAACCACACATTTTACTCTTCTGGTCTGTGATGAACCAGAGAGAGAGAGAGTGAGTGAGTGAGTGAGTGAGTTAGTGAAAGATACAAAATACCTTACCTTTACCTTACCTGTTCATACAATCACCTTTTACCATAGATTCTGAACGCGCTCCTGAGAGTGTTATAAACCTGTGTTATATAATATCTCAGAACAGTTCCCAACATATCATGCTTCTTACAGTAGAGTCATAGAGAGAGTTATAAGAGTGAAGTCTAATAATATGTTATGAAGGGTGAAAGTCTAATAATAATAAGACTTACTGAAGATTTATAATGTGTTTTGTGTGTGTCTGTGTGTGTGTGTGTGTGTGTGTGTGTGTATGTATAATGAGGTCAATGTTTACACTCCTGGGTAGATCTTAAGAGGAATGTGACTTCAGTTGACCTATTACGTTGTGTCTGTTTCACTGGTAAGGATTCATCATGATTTGGTATCAGGTATCGTTAAATAGGTACAGTAACTCCAACGATAAAATTAACTCGGTGTATATGACGTGTTTATATTGTGTCTCTGTCGATCAAAAAAAAAAAATAATCCTTCAAGATCTTTTCAAACTTTCGAAAAATAAACAAACTAATTTAACTCATTTGATAATGTATTTTATTACTTGGAATAACCAGAGATAATAAATTTATAACTAAACTATATCCAACCTTTGTTTTGTAATTTATTAAAAACAACAGAATTATATGTGTTTTTGGAAGTTTTTTTTTTCTTCTTGTATTTTCTTATTTTATTTTTATTTTTTTTAATCTCCGGGTCTTTGTTGTGTCTTCCTCAACAAGATGGAAATTTAGGAATAATTTCATGTAGCCTCAAAAACTTGTTCACTGACGCTACCAAACGCTGAGGAATACTGTAGTGTTAGTAAGAGCCGTTCATAAATGTTCAAGAGAAGATGATGATGATACTGTGTTCTGTTGTTCATTTTGGTGCAGATGATGGTAATGTACACAGTCAGTCTGGCGTGTTCATGGTGATGTACACGGTTAGTCTTAAAGTGTTCATCGTGGTGCAGTTGTTGATGTACAGTCAGTCTGGAGTGTTCAATCATGGACTGGGTGTTCAAGCTGATGAACATAGTCAGTCTGGAGTGTTCACCATGGACTTTGTGTTCAAGCTGATGAACACAGTCAGTCTGGAGTGTTTACCATGGACTGGGTGTTCAAGCTGATGTACACAGTTGGTCTGAAGTGTTCAAACTGATGTACACAGTTGGTCTGGAATGTTCATTATGGACTGGATGTTCAAGCTGATGTACACAGTTGGTCTGGAGTGTTCAAGCTGATGTACATAGTCAGTCTGGAGTATTCATCATGGACTGGATGTTCAAGCTGATTTACACAGTTGGTCTGGAGTGTTCACCATGGACTGGATGTTCAAGCTGATGTACACAGTTGGTCTGGAGTGTTCACCATGGACTGGATGTTCAAGCTGATGTACACAGTTGGTCTGGCGTGTTCACCATGGACTGGATGTTCAAGCTGATGTACACAGTTGGTCTGGAGTGTTCACCATGGACTGGATGTTCAAGCTGATGTACACAGTTGGTCTGGAGTGTTCACCATGGACTGGATGTTCAAACTGATGTACACAGTTGGTCTGGCGTGTTCACCATGGACTGGATGTTCAAGCTGATGTACACAGTTGGTCTGGAGTGTTCACCATGGACTGGATGTTCAAACTGATGTACACAGTTGGTCTGGAGTGTTCACCATGGACTGGATGTTCAAACTGATGTACACAGTTGGTCTGGCGTGTTCACCATGGACTGGATGTTCAAACTGATGTACACAGTTGGTCTGGAGTGTTCACCATGGACTGGATGTTCAAGCTGATGTACACAGTTGGTCTGGAGTGTTCATTATCTTCAGGTAATGAAGCTGTTACGCTGTATGAAGGTTATTTTTTTTACATTGTTTTTTATCCGTATGTGTACTGTTGATGAGTGTTGATGTCCAGGTTAGATTTACAATTTACATTTTTTTACAATGGCTTATTATTCAATTAGATTAGAAAGGCATTTTTTTTTACAAAGGTTTATTATTAAGGTAGAAAGTGGATTAATTATTATGTGAGATTTTAATTTATATGTTTTTAATTGGTATGTCTTCTTTTGTGAAATTTAGTATTTTTATTCTAAATTATTTGGGGGAAATTTATAGTTAGTTGTGAATTAGGAAATAAAAAAATATGATAGAGAAAATAGATTATATATTGGATAAAATACTATGTGAGGATTTTTTTTTTTAAATATTAATAAGCCTAATATGTAGTGTTGAGCTTAAGTTATTGTATGATATTGTACTTGTGTTTAATTATGCAATACAGTTTTTTTATATTATAGAAAATATTATTTTTTATGGTAATCTCTCTCAGGACAACAATTCTCATCACATAACTATCAAGTTTTAAATGGTAGTAAAGAACCTGTTATTCCACTGTAAATATTACTATCCCATAATGTCCAACCATTTGGTGTCTCCTTAGTGAGAAGTGATGTAATGTTGACAATTAAAATGATGGAAAACTATACTGTTTTATTTATGCTTTATATTTGGTGAGTTAGGTTCAGTAAAGCCATAACCTCAGGATAGAGGATAGGAATAATTATTGAATATTTTGACTAATTTCCTGACCTCGCATAAAAATTATATTCATTATCCATTTTTTTTTTTTTACAAACCAAAATTTACAAAACAATGGGATTCTTGAAGCTTGTTGGGTGAAAGTCGTGAGTCAAGTATATGCTAAAGACTCACTATACGTCTGACTCATTACTCTAAGCTGCTGGAACACTAAAGGGCTAGAGCGGCCAGGTCACTCAAGAACTGCTGGTCATTGCTACCCTGGAAACCTGACCTTACTGTAATGAGATGAAACCCATGATTAAGGTCCATATTCCTCGTAGTCTCCTCTCACCCACTGTCTCTTCACCTCTCTGATTGTACTGTAGGGAAGATTAGATAATTACTAGGGTAGAAGCATAATAATAATCAGCATCTTCCAGTCTCTCTTTATTCTAGGCCAACATCATGATCTCATCCGGGTGTTCGGTAGATCTCTTGGTGGTCTGAGTTTATGGATTATGTCTCCCTGGATTCATTATCTCTCGTCTACTCCCCAAAGGAACTACAGTTGAGGGAATGGAGACTGAGTTACATGATCCAAGTTTTGCCACAGATACAGATGCATTTATTGTGGGGAGTTTCAGGGGGGGGCGAAAGGTTCTTCTATTAACGTGAGTCGAAGAATTGTTCAGGAGGCCTTGGTGTGTACTATTTTGTGGGGGGAGGATGGTGATGGTAGTGATAGAGTGGTGATAGTGATGGAGGTGGAGTGGTGATGGTAGTGATGGAGGAAGGATGGTGATAGTGATGGGGATAGTGATGGGGGACGAGGGGTAGAGATGGTAGTGATGGAGGTGGGGTGATTGAGGGTAGCTATGGAGAAGGGATGGTGATGATGGTGGTGGAGAAGGGATGGTGATGATGGTGGTGGAGAAGGGACGGTGGTGATAGTGACAATGATAGTGTTTCTCCTACTATCTATTAGATTGGTATTCACTCTATTTCTCTCACTTTCTCTCACCTTCCCTCACTTTCTCTCACCTTCCCTCACCTTCTCTCACCTTCTCTCACCTTCCCTCACCTTCCCTCACCTTCTCTCACCTTCCCTCACCTTCCCTCACCTTCTCTCACCTCTCCCTTCCTCCCTTCCCCTCACCTTCCCTCACCCAACCCCTCACCTTCTCTCACCTTCTCTCACCTTCCCTCACCTTCCCTCTACCTTCCTCTCCCTTCCCTCTGCCTTCCCTTTGCTTCCCTCACACCTTCCCTCACCTTCTCTCACCTTCCCTCACCTTCCCTCCACCTTCTCTCACCTTCCCTCACCCAACCCCTCCTTCCCTCACCTTCTCTCACCTTCCCTCCACCTTCTCTCACCTTCCTGCCTTCCCTCACCTTCCCTCACCTTCTCTCACCTTCCCTCACCTTCCCTCACCTTCCTCACCTTCTCTCACCTTCTCTCACCTTCCCCTCACCTTCCCTACCTTCTCTCTACCTTCCCTCACCTTCTCTCACCGCACCTTCCCTCACCTTCCCTCACCTTCCCTCACCTTCCCTCACCTCTCACCTTCCCTCACCTTCCCTCACCTTCTCTCACCTTCCCTCCTGTGTTGTAGAGATATGAGTTATTGTCTGTCTGTCTGTACTGTAACTCAGGTATAACCAGTTTTTCATTTCTTATTTTATTCTTGGCTTGCTATTATCTATGTGTGTATATTTATTCGTCTGTCTATCTACCCTACTCACTTCTCCGTTTTTTCTCTTCATCTCTCTCTCTCTCTCTCATTTCTGGATTTATACTCTTCTTTCCCTCCCTCTTCTCTCTGTGTCTGTCTGTCTGTCTAAATTTGATTTCTGTTATACCTTGTCCTCTCCTCTTCCTCTACATAAATCTTCTCAGTCACAAAAACACTTACATCAACACACTTCTATTTCAAACAGATTACCTGGGGTACTAATTAATACACTCACCAGGTATTCCCCCCCCACCCACCCAAAAAAAAAAATATACCTGATTGCTTATCTTAACACTGACGTAAACTGATAACAAGGAGTAAGACTTAAGAACAAGGCTTAACTAAAACTGTCCTGAAACCTAACACTGATTCAGCCTTTAAATTCACCTTCCATCATGTTGTTATTGGACCGAATTTGGCCATAATTTGTTGACGATATCCAGGTTTATTTATATTTTCTTTGATTATTTCCAGTTTTATTACAATTATCTTATTGTTTTTGTTGTTGTTTTTTTGCGATATTTTCTTGATAAGTAATTAGATATTCATGTAATTATGTAAATATATACTGTAATATTATATCTTTTCTCTTCCTTCATAAGTAACCTATATTATTGTCTCTCTTCTCTCTCAGCCACTAAGCCTCCCCCTGATTGGTGAGGGGGGGAGAGGTGAGAGGTGGGGGGGGGCACAGTGAGACGTAGTACACTGTAGTACACTGATATTACACCTGTGTTTACCTGACAGAGAGACATATACTGACAGTGGCTATCAGTATATCATGATAGTTTTATACTGCGTCACAATTAGTCATGTGATTTGACAGTGACAGATGTTAACTGTCAGTGACACATCTGGCTGAGGGCGAGAGCCGTTATCTAATCATGACGCATGCGGCTTGAAACCAACACAAACAAATACAAACAAATTGACGCACTTGACTTGAGAACAACACAAATTGATACATGCGGACTCAGGAAAACAACACAATTTCACGCATGCGGCCTGATAAACAACACAAATTGACACATGCGGCCTGATAAACAACACAAATTGACGCATGCGGACTCAGAAAAACAACACAAATTGACACATGCGGCCTCATAAACAACACAAATTGACGCATGCGGCCTGATAAACAACACAAATTGATACATACGGACCTAATAAAAACACAAATTGACGGCCCCTGATGGCAACACAAATTGATACATGCGGCCTGATAAACTAACACAAATTGACACGTGCAGACTCAGAAAAAACAACACAAATTGATACATGCGGCCTAATAAAAAACACAAATTGACGCATGCGGCCTGATAAACAACACAAATTGATACATGCGGCCTGATAAACAACACAAATTGATACATGCGGACTCAGAAAAACAACACAAATTGACACATGCGGCCTGATAAACAACACAAATTGATACATGCGGACTCAGAAAAACAACACAAATTGATACATGCGGCCTAATAAAAAACACAAATTGACGCATGCGGCCTGATAAACAACACAAATTGATACATGCGGCCTGATAAACAACACAAATTGATACATGCGGACTCAGAAAAACAACACAAATTGACACATGCGGCCTCATAAACAACACAAATTGACGCATGCGGCCTGATAAACGACACAAATTGATACATGCGGACTCAGAAAAACAACACAAAATGACGCATGCGGCCTAATAAACAACACAAAGTGACGCATGCGGCCTAATAAACAATACAAAATGACGCATGCTGCCTGAAAACAACACAATGATATATTGACATAAGTTACACCTTGAGTCCAGGTGGTCACTGACATTGTGGTTTGAAACTGATGGATGCGGCATAGTTGGTGACGTGCGGAGCTAGCCCATAGTGCCTGCGGCCTCACACTGACACACATGGTCGCCCAATGACGCATGCGGCTTGACAGTGACATTGACAGCTCAGATAGTGACGCATATAGGGATTGAAATATTATACACGAAGACGTGACAAAGATGCATGCGGCTGTGTCAGATTTTCCCTAACCTAACCTAACCTAATGATGATGGTGAGGTAGACGAGGGTGATATATGGATCTGATAATGCCACATGAACCCTTGATAGTGACACATGAACCCTTGATAGTGACACATGAACCCTTGATAGTGACACATGAACCCTTGATAGTGACACATGAACCCTTGATAGTGACACATAAACCCTTGATAGTGACACATGAGTCCTGGTTGTGAAAGTGATGGTGATATCTTGGTCAAGGCGCCTCGCTGGAGCATCAGTATAAGTAAATAGACAAATATATAATATTTCTGAGGTTAAGGACAACTTCGTCTCTTGTTTTCTCTTTTTCACTTTCTTTCTCTTTTTAAGCTTTTGTTTTCTCCTGTTTAGCTTCTATTTACTCTTGTTTTAGCTTAATTTTCTTTCCTTTAGCTTTTTTTTTTTAATTTTCGCTCAAAATTTCTTTCTTTTTTCCACTCATAAGTTAACATAATCTCTTCTTTACTTTATTTTCTCTTATTTTCAACTGTTTCTTATTTTTCTTTTGTTTTTTATTTTATTTTATCTTCTTTATGTGTGATTTTAATTTCGTAATTTTTAGCTTATATATGAAATTTAATACATATATATCCATGTATGAGTTGTGTATATGTATATTTATATTCCTTGTGTATACATCTCACCATACATGTACTTATTGTCCATGTTTAGACGAATGAATACATTAATATCGATGTATAAACTGTGTATATGTATCATTCTTTGTATACATCTCACTATACATGTATATATTTCCCTGTATTATATATATGTCGCGTATATGTATATTCCTATGTGTGTATCTCTGTATGTATGTGTATATATACTATTATACACCTGCATGTATGTATATATATATCGACGTACATACAATCACTGAGTGTGGTGAATTAGACTACGGTGGAGCAACGTCACACCGCACCACCCTCATTACCTGTGGCGTGAGGAGGCGGTGGTAGTCCCAAGTGTTACCTGTGCCGTATTAATGAGATATCACCTGGAGCTAGTTAGTCACCCTTCCATTACATCTTTATTCGTATTATCAGTTAACCGTATTATCAGTTATCCGTATCGTCGTTCTTGAGGGTATAATTGGTATGAAGGAATGTAGGAATTAATGAATAAGGCGTGAATGATGAATACAGTTTATTTATTTTTTATTTTATTCCTTCTCTTCATTCTT